CTGGCTGACGTGTAACTCATTATTTAGTCCAGACTGGGCTCAAACTTGGATGAATCCTCTTGTCTCTGCCTCCCAATTGCTGCAATTACAGGCATGTCCACCATGCCCAGAAGATGCAAGTACTATTAATCACAAAAATAATGTACCGAGATCTTTAGACCAAGAGAAAAGAGCAAAGTTATAGCATTCAAAGGAGTTGTAGTTAAAATACAGAACTTAAGAACAGAAAAGGGAACATGAAGAACATTCACCACAAACACTTCACAAAGTAAAAACTGAAGTCCACAGAGTTCAAATGACCTAGCAAAACCAAAGGGCTTTTCTGTAGGAGTTCAAGCTCTCAGCAGGTCTCCAGGTGACTAGTAACCATCCTATCATTCTTTATCCAATTAGGAAAATGCAATAGCATGCCCCCTCCGTCTTTATAACAGGGGAACAAAATAGGAAATGTGTGTGTGTGTGTGTGTGTGTGTGTTTATGTGTGACACAGAGCACATGTGGAGATCAGAGGACACTTTGTAAGAGTCTGTTGTCTCCTTCCACCATGTTGGTCCCAGAGATCACACTCAGTTCATCAGGCAGGACTGGTAGACTAAGAACTTCACAGCTAAGGGTTAATCCAAAATCAAACTAACCTTCTACTTAGTAACTTCAAAAATATTTCATGACAATACTCTATAATAACCAAAACTTTTGACTACTATAGTATATAAAACCATGGTTCTTCCAAAGACATATTGTATGCTATACATGCCTTTCACATGTTCATGAAATGATATTATAGTCAAAATAACTATTACTTTTTAAAAACGAAAACATAGGGGCTGGAGAGATGGCTCAGCGGTTAAGAGCACTGACTGCTCTTGCAGAGGACCTGGGTTCAATTCCCAGCACCCACATGGCAGCTATGAACCATCCTTAACTCCAGTTCCAGGGGAATCCGAAGCCCTCTTCTGACCTCCGCAGCATTGCACACGACACGGGTGCACTCACATACATGCAGACAATACATTCATACACATAAAATAA